CAAAAGAAGAAAAACAAGAGGAAGACGAATTATGGGATAAAGAAATGAGGCAAGACTGGGAAGAAATAGGTACAATAAAAAGAGTAAAATAGTATTTGAAAGAAGCAGGAGGGTAGGAAAGAAAGGAGGCAAAAAGAAGGAAGATTAAAAAATGACAGAAGAGGAAGACTGTTGGACATTGATAACCTTGCATTGAGTGGCATGAGAGACAGGTTTTCTGGGAAAGACCTGTGCCTGGGCCAGTATAGTCCAGAAATGAACTAGGGTGGGGTCAGTGTCATTACTCAACTTTTAGAACTCACTGCCAGGGTAATAAAACTAGGTAAGGCAAATGGTTCACTGATGTGCACATGGCTTTAACACATGTAAGAGATAGGGCTTAATAAATTTTCCTCTACGTATAAACGTTGCTTCTCTCAATTATCTGTTGTGAAAAAAAAATTGAAACAAACAAAAAAAATACCCCCAAACAAATAAGACTCCCAGAAAACTTTTCAGTTTTTCGGGTGAAAGTCTGTGTCTTTTGCTAGCCTGTTATCCCATAGCGCTTGGTTCAGTTAAGTATAATACTCAGCAGACATTTAGTAAATAGTTGGACAGCTGGGAAATCTTAACGTGAAGTATTGTTTTGATTGTGGGGGCAGGAGGCATTGAATAATGTTTAATAGTTTCTCTGGTGAGAAACCAGTCTCTGCTTAGTGGAAAAAAGGCTGAAGACACAATAAGACTCCTAGAGTTAAGTCTTATATTATTTGTTATTAAAGAGCAAGGTCTTAAGATGTGCTTTTTAACAGTCTTTAGCTGGGTTGTAATTTAAGATGACTTTTACAAATTAGATCCTAATCCTTGCAGACACAGATGGCTGTTACAGAATAGCCTTGCAAAAACACTAGTTATTCAACTTGAAAGAGCATTCAGAGAAGGATGAAGGGCCATTAACTCTCACCCGACTTCTGGCTCTAGGAAGCCTAGAGTCCTGGGTGGGCTTTCTGGCTTTAGGACTGGAATCTGGGTGGGCCTAAGGCATCTGTTCTGGTTTGGAAGAACCTCTCTTAGAGTTCACTATGGAACTAGAGATTTAGGGGAGACTGAGGTCATTCATATTTGACAACAGTTACTGAATGATTATATTTCAGGCACCATGCTGGGAGACTGCCTTTGTAAATCATTACAGAATGATAGGACAAGTGCAATGAGACAGGAATGTACAGATTGCAAAGTACATAAGTAGGGAGCAGGGGAGAAGAGGGAAGTCTTCACAGAGAGGCTGACTTTTGAGCTGGGCATTGAAAGATGAGTTCAAATGTGCCAGAATAGCATGGAAGAAGAATATTCAAGGAAGAAAACAGAAAAGTATGTAAGATATACTTTTATATACAGGCTTGAGAGTTTTTGTGCCTTCAGTGAACAGTGAGCAATATGCTTTTCCTGCTGACGGAAAAAACTAACGAGAAGCCGGATATGTGGTGGGAAAGGCAGGAATGTGCCAGATTGTAAAGAGTTTTCAAAACAGTCTAAGAGGTCTGTAGCTATCTGGGGTATTAGGGGATACTAAAAGTTTTATGCAAGAGACAAAATGATGAGAGTGAGATTTTGGAGTAACCACCATATGACAGATAATTTTAGGTTGAACAAGGACCATAAAGTGGATCTATGATGGGTTCTGGAAGCTCTTGGTTTCTCCTATAGAAGCATACCTCTTTGAATTTATTTTTTTCTTTGGAGAACTGGGCTAAATTGATCTTGGAATAGTCTGAGGTAGAAATGGGCTCAGGTGTGAAAGAGACATTGGAAGCAAAGACTGTAAACCAGATCAAACTGTTTTCTTTAACAGTATAAAACCTAGGGTGAGTGACAGACAGCTAAATCAGGAGTAAATTTTCTCTTAGACTAAGTGACAGGTTCTCCATGTAAGGTTAGTCCATGACACAAGAGTCTGCACTGAAAGGCTGAAAATTTGATCAGTACAACTCAAAGCAGGCAGGCAGCAGGCCTAAGAATCTTCTGTGTTTCAAGTCAATTCCATGACTTCTTGTCAAAAATCAGTATTTCAGTCTATGTATTTTCCCTATAAGAAGATGATATTAATGCTGAAGTGAAAAATAGTCAAAAACAAAAACCAACCAACGAAATGAACAAACAAACCTCTCCTCAACTCCTGAGAAGCCAGTTTATAAAACATAAAGCTATATTTTAAAATACAGGAAAGTCCTTAAATCCTATTTTACCTAGTACTTAAAACTTACAGGACGAGTATTTAATTTGGCTTATAGTTTCTGGAGATTCAGTCCATGGTTAGTTGACTCCAAGGCAGAAACATCATGGTGGAAGGATGTAATGGAACAAAGATGCTTAGTTCATGGCAATCAGGAAGCGGAGCAGGGGAATAATGTCCAATAGGAGAGAAGAGGCTATATCTTACTCAAGATGACACCTCCATGACCAATTCAAACACACTCAGAAGTGTGTAATTCAAACACACTCAGAAGTGTGTACCATCAATCTCCTGGGCTGTTGGTTTCCAAACCAATCAAGTTGATGCAATCAGTCTTAACCATCAGAACAGATGAGGTCCAGAAAGAGAGTGACTTATAACCAAAGATCAGAAAGGATTAATTGTCTCCCTAAATTCTATCAATTCTCCACGATAAGAGAAACAAAATAACATGTAAAGTAGAAGAACCATGATGACTTTGAAAGCTTCCATAGTGGTTGTTTCCTAAATATTCAAACAGAGTTCAGCTTCAGTGACAGAACTTAGGGTAGTTCCTTACTTGGTTGTGTGGTAACAGCATGTGCATGTATGTGTTCCTTTGTGCATGTTTGTGTATTTTATATGTGAATAAAGGGGAAGAGCTTGGAGATAGGGCCAGTGAGAAAAGGACCAGTGGCCACAAAATGAGGTCCATAATGAGCTTAGAGGTAAGTAACAGGATCCTCATTCCAATGCAAAAGGATTTGCAGTTGGGTGACAGAGCTAAAAATACTTCACTGATTTTTTACTCTATTCTGAAAATATGACAACTAATGTGAGGAACATGGACTGGATAAACCTTAACAAAATCTTGGTTTGGGTATGATAGTCTTGATAACTAGACTTAGATGTAATGAACCACCTAATACTATGATTTATCATGTATCTTAGGGTTGAGCTCATCCAAGTCCATATAAACCAGGAACAACAGGAATAATTCCCACTCCATTTATATCTGTATTGCTAAAAAGAGTAGTGTTTCTTATTTCTAAAGACATGAAAATTACTATTTCACAATAAAGAATGTCTTCTTATATTAGGCCAAACTTGCAGCTATAACTTTCAATTCATTGATCCCAGTTCCAACACTGCAGCCTCACCAAATCAGAATCCCTTGCTTACACAACAAACCTTGCAGGCAGCAATCATATCTCCCATGATTTTCCCTTCTTTGGAGAATATATTCTTCAAACGACATGATTTTCAATTCCTTCTCATTCCTTTGGGCCCTGCTCTACACACGTTCCTGCTTCTTTGGGCTTCCTGTTTCAGCATAAAGCCTAACAACCCTTTTAGGCCTTGTTTATCTAGGTAGAGAGCTGAACAGGACCATCCTCCCCTCCCCTGTTGGGCTTATACCTAACAATGCAGTCAGCTACCTTTTTTTTTTTTTTGGTGGGGGTAGCCATAACACATTATTAATGTATATTCAGCTTAATCAATCATAATGTCTTCTAAAACTGCCTACATAGTTCTGTAAAATTTTGTAGTTTCGATCTAACTCCAGTACTTTTAAGGTTTTCTTGATTCTTATGTCTCATAACACATAAATCTGATAGTTTTCACTTAAGTTGCCAAGAAATATGGTGAGTAATAAAGGATTATTCCATTCATAATTTCCTTCAGGTAGACAGCAGCCAGTGAACAATTTTTGGACACAACCATTTATTCAGCAAGGAATCTATATAACTGTAGATCTTCATCTTTCTACTTTGCCCTGAACATTATGAGAGATTATCAAATGCCCTGTTTACTAGTCAGCTTTCCTGATGCTGAGACAAAATACCTGACACCTACAACTTAAAGGAGGAGAGGTTCATTTGGCTCATAGCTTCATAGTCTAGTGCATGCCTGGCTGGCTGGGCCCAAGGCAGAACATCATAGTGGAAGGGCATGGCAGAGCACAGCTGCTTACGTCATGATAAACAGGCAGAGCACAGGAACAGTGAAGAAAGGAAGGGGCCAGGGACTATGAACAGTCTCCAAGGTCGTTTCCATGACCTACTTAGGCACCCCAAATACATGCTTTATTTATTTCCTAGACAGCTCCCAAGTTCATCAAGTTGTCAACTGAGCTTAACTCACATTCCACTCCTTGTCAACCCAATGCATTTCCTTAAACCACAGTTAATTTCCAAATAAAGACATTAACAAGTCCCTAAGTCCACCTAACATAATGTAACTGTCCTGTGCACAACCAGAAACAACTAACCCCTTTCCAAAGTCTCAACAGTTGCAGCACTACCCAAAAGTCCAGGGTCAAACTCACCTCAGAGACACAAGGAAGACTCAGCTGTGAACCCCTGAGAGATTTAAAAAGCACGTTACTCAATCCCTAGATTCAATGGGACAAGGTAACCATTCCCACTCCAAAAGGGAGGAACATGGAGAGAGAGAAAAAAGTTGGAACTAAGATGAATTGAAACCAATCAGGGCAAATATTAATTCGGTAGCTTTATGTCTAGCAATGTGAGGCACACAGTGATAAGGTGCAAGTTCCCAAGGCCTTGGTGGTTCCACGCTGCACCTAATTTCTCACATGGGCTCCTGGGCACAGGTCTGCTAGCTAAGAAGTTACACTTCTTCCAAAAGCTGAGACGAGAACAGTTACGCAGAACCAAGATGGACTTCTGTATATCTTTTAGTATCCCATACCATTTGACTTTACTTAGGCTACTTTTTCTAGCCTTATTTAATTAGTTATCTCCCATATCGATATACTTCTTTAGATAGTATGAGAACTTACATCTCTCCTAGGAAAGGTGCTCAGTAACTTGAACTCATCCCATGGAAATCCTTTGGAAGCTACGAAATCAAAGACAATCTGGAGCTTATTGCTAGCCAGGAAACGCCGCTCCAGGAACTCGCCACTGGGTGTGCGGATCCGAAGTTTGCTCACAGGCTCAGCATTTTCTTCCTCTGGCTCTGGAGGCAGGGCTTGCTCTAAGGAGAGTCGGATGGCCTAAGTAGAACAAAAGCCAGCTGTTACAATTGTGGGAAGTGGCAGGGAGGAACACTCGAAACAAGATGCTTTCTAGAAATACACTGAAAGTCTTTGTGCCACTTAGTAAGAAGCCTCATGCTTGAATAATAGAATCATGTGTTTTTCATTTTTTTCATGAAACAATTACAATGAATCCCACCTTGGGGATACATATTATTAAATCAGTAATTACATTACAAATAAATACTTATTTTTAAACCAAAGGCTCAGATTCTTTAGATTGCAGAAATATGCATCAACTACCCAACTGCTTTTTTTTCTAAGATATGAAATACGGCTATTAGAAGCATTCACAAAATATACACACACTTTACATTCAAAATAATACATTTACGAATTAGAATAAACTGAAGAGTCTATAAAATATTGGACAACTTGTTAAAGACAAAATGGAATGGAAAATTTGGAATAATTGATAACACACTTAAAATGGCAAGTTTCTGTCATATACATTGTGTTGCAATAAAATTTTCAAAAAATAGAATGGAAAAAACTCTCAAATCAGGTTTACTAGAGTCAGGAGACTACAGTTTTATTTCCAATGTTGTCATTACCTTGCTGTTTGGATTTGGCCAACTCTCAGAATGACAGATTTCCGGACCAAGACATGGACTAGGCCCTTCATTTTGCAGACAGGAAAACAAACTCAAATAGGTATGACAATTAGGAGAAATCTATGGCTAGAGTTGAGTTTGAACACCCGAGGTTTTCCTAGTTCTGGTCAACAGATTACATTGCTTCAACCTTATGACATTCCCTTGGTTAGAGGCTCTCTGAGGTACTTGTTCATGTTGGAATTTAGTGCAGAAATCCAGAAAAACATTTTTATCTGTAGCAATTTAAGAAGTTTCTTAGTAAGCCCGGTATTAGCATTTTTCTGCTTCGCAGTTACATTGTAATTTTGACTTTCACATTTCTATGTTCTCAGTTTATCATTAATAGAAAAACAGACATGATCCCCCATCAATTTGTCATTATTATAATAAAGTAATATTATGAGAGAAATTAAGATTTAAGTTCTTTAGACCTCCACAGCAAATTTTCAAAGTGGATGCTGCTTTTTCTACTGGGGGCATGTGGAAATTTAAAAAACCTTTCTCTTAAATATCTCTTGGGTTGGGCTAGGGATTTAGCTCAGTGGCGTAAGCACCTGTGTGGCAAGCGCAAGGTCATGAGTTCAATCCCTGATACCCCTCCCTCCCAAATCTCCTGGGCCAAAAAGGAAATATAAATCAAAATTGCAGAATACCTGAGAAACAGCTGTTCAAACACTACATGTTAGAGTCTATAGTATTCATCCAAAATAGTGCTCAGAGAAAATTCACTGCTGTAAAATTTTTATTAAAAATGAAAGAAAATTTATCATCTCAGCTACTTAGGAGGTTGAAAGATGGGAGAATTATCTGAGCCCAGGAGTTCAACAAGACACTAGACAACATAGTATGATGCTGTTGCAAAAATAAAAATAAAAACAAACAATTAAAGATGAATTAAGAATCAGACTTTAAAAGCTAGGAAAAACCTCCAATAAAGCAATTATAAAAGCATGAAGGAATGAGTTAGAAAAGAGAAAACATACTGGCTAATCAGTATATAAGTTGGTTCTTTGGAGAAAATCAATTATCATAGACAAATACAAAAACCAAAATAAAAACGTGAACCTAAAGAAGTAGGGAAACAGGTAGAAGAGGCAACCATAAAAGTTCTGCACATACTTTTTAAATTTAAAATAACTGGGAATACAAAGTTTGCTAGCAAGACTATAATAGGAAATGAAATTAATTTCTATATCATTCAGGATAATCTGATGGTTCTAACACTGACTTATTTTTAAAAAGCATTCAAAATTTCTACAGTATGCAGTTCTTAGGTCATTTTCCTTTTGGAAGCACTAAGTAACATCACTGACCTTACAGGGAACTAGAGAGATAGGAATTTTAAAATTGATATATTATGGAAGTTATCAGTGTAGTTTCTGACACATAATAAGACTTTAGTAAAGTAGTTGCTTTAATTATAATTAAGAGAAATTGTACACAGACTATCAGATCTGGAATGCCTTGCACTAGCTGAACAATTCTATACTCTCATTTGTTTGTATAGAGAATAGATACCCAGAAACAGAGTTCAAAGATCAGACAAATTGAAAGTTAAAAGTCACTTTTACTTTTTCTTCATCCATATGACCTATGAATGTGAGTTTATCTAATTTAGTATTCTAATTCACAATGAATTTCAGCTGAGCATTTTTAAATAGTAAACTACTTTAGTAACAATGTACCATATTAATAACTGAATGGAAGAAATGCGTAGATATGAAAATTAAATATCTGTAGCACATACAGGTTTTGGACATTTTGCAAAAATTTGAATCAGTATTATAGTAAGCTTTACCTTATTTTTTGTTTAAAGGTATGCATTTTAAAATTTTTACAATTTAAAATACCTAATAAAAAGTGCTCAAATCTTTGTTTTTTTTTTTTTTTTTTTCTTTTTCTGTTTTATCGGGACCAGGGATCAAACTCACGACCGCACACTTGCAAGGCAGGTGCTTATTCCGCTGAGCTAAATCTCCAGCCCCAAAGTGCTCAAATTTTAAGCATGCAACATGATTAAAGTTTCAGAAAGTCAACATACCTGTAAAACTAGCAACCTGATTAAATAGCTCAGAAGCACATGCCTCTTCTGGGAGCTACCTCTCCCCAAAGTCTATTGCTATTATGACTTCTAACAATGAAGTTTGAAAAATGTTAATTAAACTGTAATGTTATGACTAGCAAGACAGACTCTGAAGTTAAACACATATAGGATCAAATACTGGTCTTTAAGTAAATCACAGTCCTTACTACTTCCAGTTTTCTCATATAAAAATAGGATTAATAGTAACATCTTCTTTACAAAATCCTTCAATAAAATACAGTAATATTTTAAAAACACTTAGTAAGTACTGATATGTGGTAAAGATGCAATTAATGACCAGTGCTTAACCCTGATCTTCACTATATGTAACACAGTGAACAACAAAGGAGAGTGTTGGTTGTCTATATAATTATCGTTATGAATGTTCCTCTATATGTACTTTAAATAAGAACTTGAAATTCAGTATTTCCTTTTTCCCTCCTGCTCCCTTTTTAATTCACCTGCCTGCTTGTTTTCTATTTTGACATTTTCCTGACAGTCTAACAACAGATGTTACGTTATTGTCTGAACCCAACCAATTATACTACAGAAATATAAACAACAGTAGCTCATTACTCAATTCATTGTGTAGACATTTTCTGATATTCAATGTACACAGTCTCCAGGGCTTTTCTTCGGAATGAAAACAGACCTCAGATATTCCTTACTTGTGGACAAATGTGGAAAACAATGAAGGTATTATTAAGTCAGCAACCTTGGTATCTGAATACTCAACAGTTTTACTGGTAAAAAGAACAAAACTAAATCAGCAGTTCAGTTTCAAATATACTGTCTAAAAGCAAAAGCCTCATGTAAGCAAATACTGTTGTAAAATAATTACATAAAAGACACAATCACTCACACAATAGTCATAATAAACACTACTGTTAAACATCAGTTTGGTTTGATCAACAAATACAGTGCTTTACTTACATTATTTTAGGTTTGTGATAAAACAAGGAAACCTAATATAAGAAATATACACTGATTTTGGGATTTTTTTAAATTAAAAAATCTGCACACCTTAAAGCATTCACATCTGAAGAATGAAAAATAGGGACATTTTGTGAATGAAATTAAGCAATGAAACTAGATACCTACAAAAGACTTTCTATACAATTTGATTTTTTTTTTTTTTGTCTTTTTCCTTTTTATCAGTGCCAGGGATCGAACTCACGACTGCCTGCTTGCAAGGCAGGCGCTTATGCCACTGAGCTAAATCCCCAGCCCCTACAATTTGATTTTTAAAAAGAAAGAGTAATTTATATTTACAGCAATCTCTTAAAGTAAGAATCAAAGACTGGAGTAATTTATTTATACATACACCCAAATACATACACACACGTACACACACACACACACACACACACACACACACACACACACAAGACTTCTATGAGTACACATCAATGAACAGTTTATTTTTTTGAATATAAAACTATTTATTGACCACTGCTCACCATTATTTACAATAAGTAAACAATATACAGTAGGATAACATTCTGACTACTACAAAGTTGTTTTCCTGGCTTCTGCTGAAAACAGTAACCCAAATACTGAAAAGATTGAGCCTACATGTAACGAGCAAGTTGGGGTCAAGAAAAACATGCAGGTCAGTAATTTTAGATTACAAGTTTGTTCACTCAGTGATTCTAGCAGGTCCTAAACTAAGTGAACACTTACCACTCAGTAGGTTACCATAGGCCAAGTCTTTAGACATCCACAAATCCTGACTTTTGAGTACATATTTTTGTTGCAAAGCAATGGGTCATGAGGAATCTTTAATGTTCCCTTAACAAGTCTTCCTTAGCTAATTCAAACAAACTAGGTTTTGACTTATTACCTTATTTGGGTTGGGAAGTTGTTAGTAGAGAGAACAATTCTTCTTTTCAGAAATTTTGCAAGTAAACTGCAGCATTTTTTGGACTAAAGACACAGATCTAGATTCTGATAATGCTGTTTTGAAAATATCCACTTTAAACAGTCCTATTAACCACAAAACCACCTATTTAACTTGAAAGGTTATGGCTTCAGGAAAATGTTTAACTGGAAGTGATTTATTTCTTTTTTTTTTTTAATATTTTTTAATGATTTCTTAAATTGCTCAGCATGAGGGCATCCCAAACATGAACTTATCACCCAGAAGTTTTTGTTTTGGTGACTGCTTAAAAACAAAATAAAAACCGAGTATTTTATTTATACACACACAAACAAAAAACTCAAGAATGGTCCATAAGCACGTAAGTTATAACACGAGTTCTGATTTAGTTTGACTATGGACAATTCCCCTAACATTTAGAAAAGCAGAGGAAATGTATCAGGCTAGCTCTTTACTGACAAAGAAAGCAACTACAAAAGCTTTCATTTGTTCGAAGAAACCAGTGCTATAGATGCAAAACAAACAAAACCCAACAACTCTCCCAAATACTACTTTCAAAATTAACATATTCAACTTGATTTTCATTAGAATGCTGTTTTTTTCACACCAGTAAATCAAAACCAAGACCCATTATTACCCATATTTTATATATATATATATATATATATATATATATATATATATATATAAATATATACAAATGATGTAAGTTATTGAGCTTCATCTTCTGGACAAGAATGCCAAGTTAGTCTCTCTTCATAAAAAGCAATTACAATTTGAGAACATTTCATATTTGCCGCTTTTGCCAGCACCAAGTCAGCCTCATCTGAATCTTTCCATTTCATGAGAAACATCAATTCCCCACTACTGTCTGTGGCACCAATTATTCGTTCAGGATCAAGACCTCTAACAAAGCCTCTAGGTTTGTCAGCAGCATCTCTTTTTTTCTTTGATTTGCTATCATCAGATTCACTGTCGGATAAAGATTTTTGTTTTGTACCATCTTTTTCTTTACCAGCTTTTTGAGAATTAAGAAATGCTTCAATTAATTCTGGACAATCTAAATTTTCTTCGGGTTCCCATGTATTGTCAGCATCTGTAAATCCCTTCCACTTCACAAAATATTCCACCTTCCCATTCACTACACGTCGGTCCAGTACTTTTTCTACCACAAATTCTTCAGGCTCTGCTTCCTCAACTTTTTTACTTTTTCCATTTTGTTTCTTTCCCATTTTTTGCAATGTAGTTTTATTGGACGCCATTTTTTATTGCAGACTTGAAGAGCTATTATTCACAGCCTCGGATGCTCAGTCGCAGGTCCGCAGCGTCTCGGCCTGCGCGCTTGCAGCTCCACTTACATCCAAGCGCAGGAGTTTGTAGGCTTTAAGTAAGATAAAATTAACATTCACTAATTCCATGAATTCTTACTAAGCATTTTCTTTGTGCTAGGCATTGTTCTAAATGAGAAAATAGCACAAAACAAAATAGACAAAAATTTCTGCTTAAATGGAACAGTAGGTGTCAATCCTCACCCTCATTCCAGCAGGGTGAGGACAAAGACAGCAAACACACGTAGTGGAAAATACCTATTTTGTCATTTATATAGCGCTAAGTAGGACATGCTGGTAGAAGGGAGGCAAGGCCACAAGGTAATATTGTACAAATCAGTAGTAAGCAAAAGCCTGAAGAGAAGGACCCACACGGACATTTGTATGTTGAAATAAAATGAGCAGAAGTCACAGTAAATGCCAAGATCCTAGTGTCTGGTTTGAGGAAGGGATAGCAGGGCAGCCAATGCAGTTAGAGCAAGATTAGCAAAGGGAGGGCCAGGGGTATATCTCTACAACACAGCACCAGCCTGGCACGCTGAGTTCCATTCCTGATACCAATAAAGAAAACAGTGAAAAAAAATTAGTAAGGGGAGAGGAACAGGATTCCAAGTTGGAAAACAAAGGTAAGGGATGATTAGATCATACTGTCTTGAGAAGGCCAATCAAAACTAAATGATTTGCCCTCATTTTAAAACGAAAGTATAATTTACCTATAATATATTCATGTGCTAGGGATCAAACCTAAGGCCTTGTATTCATTAGACAAAATGCTCTATTACTGAATTACACTTCCAGCTCACACCCATCCATTTAAATATATAGTCCTATTTTAGACAAATGTATACATTTACATAACTACATCATCTGTTTTATAGCCCTAGTTTGGCCTTTTTCAAAATGTTATATAAGTGTAATCATAAATGTCACATAAAATAGCTTCTTTCACTTAGCATAATGAACTTGAGATTCAACTATGCTGTTAAAGTTTGTTCTTTATTGGTGAGCAATATTCCATTATATAGATACACTACAGTTTGATTATCTCTTGTCTACTTGAGAGACACATTCCAGCTTTTGGGTGGCTACCAATAATGCTGATACAGACATTTTTTGTGTATGTTTTTGTGAACATGAACTTTATTGTTTACTGTTACTGCTGTAAATACTTAGGAGTCTGTCTACAGGGTATATGGTACATATGCATTTAACTTTATAAGAAAGTACCAAACTATTTCCCAAAGTATACGCATTAGTTTGCAACTCCATCGTTAATCTATGACTTCCATTTACTCTTCATTTTTGCCAGTACTTAGTATTATCCCTTTTTCTTTTAAAAGTCATATTGAAGGGTATATTGTTCTAATCTGGATTTCTCTAATACCTAATAATGTTAAACATATCTTTATGCACTGATTCGCCTTCTTTAAGTCTTTGGGTAAAATATCTGTTAAGTACTTTGGCCAGCTTGGATTCTTTCCTTATTATTGAGTTTTGAGAGTTATGTCTTGATTTTATCCTTGTCAATGACTTGTCTGTTCAAATTTTTTTTTTTGGGGGGTCTTTTTTCCTTTCTATTGGTACCGAGGATTGAACTCACGACTGCCTGCTTTCAAGGCAGGCACTTATGCCGCTGAGCTAAATCCCCAGCCCCTGTTCAATTGTTTTAACAGTGTATTTTACCCAGAAGTTCTTAATTTAAAAAAAATTCCTGGCAGTAGTGGGATCAAATGCAGGGCCCTGCACATGCTACACAAGTGCTCTATCATTAACCTGATCCTCAGTCCCTAGAATTTTTTATTTTGACTAAGTCTTAGAGATGTGTTACATTACGGATTGTATCTTTGTTGTCAGATTTTAAAAATCTGTGCTTAACTCAAGGCCACAAAAATTTTTTCCTATATTTTCTACTAGATTTTTTTTTCTTTTTTTTTGCATATAAGCATCAAATTGTGGCATCACGTGTTGAAAAGACCATTCTTTTTCTATTGAGTGGCTTTTGTACCTCTGTTGAAAATCAACTGATTCGTATATGCATAGGTCTAATCTTTGGATTCTGTATTCTGTGCCATCGCTCTATTGGTTCACTAGTTTGCCGATATCATACTGTCTTGATTATATTAAGTCATTAACTACAGTAATGTTGAGTCCTCAACTTTTTGTTTGCCAAATTGTAGTGATTATTCAAGCTCTACTATAAATTTGTGAATCAGTTTATCAATTTTTTGTCTTTTTGATACAGGGTATCACTAAGCAGTTCAGGCCAGCCTTGAATTCACTTTGTAGTGCAGGCTGATCTCAAACTTGCAAGGATCCTTCTGCCTAAGCCTCCCAAATTCTGGGATTACAGGCATGTACCACCACACCCAGCAAGTTTGTCAATTTCTACAGAAAGTTCTACAAAGATTTGATTGGATCACTGTAAGATTTTAGCTATTATTTTGAGATACAAAACATGGCCAGTTTTTGAAGTGATATGATGTGACAATTTTTTTTAAGAGGAATCATTTTTTAAAAAGGCAAAAAAGAAAGCCTGGAATAAAGTCAGGAGGCTACTAACGTAATCCAAGCAACAGATGATGATTGCTTCAAAGAGGTTGCATAGAATTATGTAATGGAAAAACATTTCAGTTTGCATATATTTTGAAAGTCTACAGCCAACAGTATTTGCTTGTTAAACATGGGTGTCAGGAGAGGACTTAAGGATGTTTCCACAATTTTTGGTTCAAACTATGGAAAAGATTTTCCACTTACTAAGGAATAAAGACTATAGAAAGAGTTGATTTGAATGGGATAGGTAAACTCAGTTGTTCAGTTTTAGATATGCTAATTTTGTAATGTATGTTAGACATCTAAGTAGACATGATTAGATAGCAATTAGATATTTAAGTTTGGGGTTCAGATAGAAGAAGGATATATAAACTTGAGAGTCAAATACTATGTAAATGGTATTTAAAGTTAAAATATTGGATGAGATCACTAAAAGAGTAGAATGGATCTCCTATAGTAACAGTTGGTTCAGCCTTATTCTGTAACTGGTATCTGCTCCTGTGAAATAGAGAGCGTAGATAGCTTACTACAAGATGAAGTAAATAAAGCAAATAATAATATTTTCCAAGCCAAAATTCAGATAGATGATGCGGTTTGCTATATGAAGAACAGTACATAGATTTGGATATTACGAAACTAGAATTTCTAGTCTATTTTAATGATTTATCACAACAGCAAACTACTTCAAGCTGAAACTATCCATGAAGTTGTGGATATATGGTCTCTTTTATAATACCAATTATTTAATTAGATTCTTAGTGAGAAATTTAGAACACCAATTGTGAGGCTAAATTCCATTTGTCAGAGCGAAAACAGATCATATGTAGCCTTGGAGTTGAAGAATAGCTTTGCTTCTTTGGTAAAATCTGTGAGTCCACTGCTTTCTGATCAACCTTGCACTGCTCTGAAATCTGGTATCTCTCAGTGTTGAAGATCTCATCTTCTTCGTGTCTGGGCTTCTGCAGCTTCTCTTTCTTGAAGTAAGAATCAGTGAGTGTCTGGGGATTTTCACATTGCTGTTATCAATTTTCGTGGAGGTGGCAATGATGAATTTCTGGTGCATTCTATGCAGAGGAATGTGATTAAGGTTAAGAGGCCCAGTCATGAGTAGCAAGCCACTGGCCAGCTGTTTCAGGAAAACCACTCTCTTGTGTCTGTGGCACCCAGTGAGGGGGATCAAGATGGTCAGAGATGCCAGCTTCCAGTTTCCTCATGTGCTAAGTGAAAGTGATTTTGTTGTTGTTGCTTTATTTTGCTGTGGTTCAACAGCTTTTGGGGGCACATCTTCACCTGGGTACCATCATTCTTGTCACTACTAACTACTGCTCTTGTGACAGTAGCAAGAACCTTCTCTTTTAATTCTCAACCTTGGATTTACCAGCTGAGTACTTCCTTTTGCACAGAGCCTGTCTGGAATACATAACAGATTGGGAGTATCTAACAATCCTTCTGAGCAGGGCAGGGTTTTGGCTGCAGTGGGACTACCCCTTCACGGACACTTTAGCCTTCACATTCCTCTTTTTAACTGTGCCAGTGACACTTGCCTTCTCGGCCTTGGGCTTCTTCTCTTTAGTTGGCTTCTCTTTAGTTTGGCTTCTCAGCTTTTTTGCCTGTCACCTTGCAAGACGGGAAAGAGAACTAAGTTCCTGGCTTCCAGTCTATCAGCAATCTTTTATCTTTATGTGAGAAAAGCAAGTTACAAAAGATAAAACCACAAATTAGAAATAATAGTTTTACTTTAATAACCCATCCATTGTCCCACTTTTGTTCTTTTAGTGTACGGAAATAAGTAGAATGAATACTGGATAGGAACTCTGCTTCCAATTTTACCAGGAAAATGTTGGTAAGAATTTTAAAATAGTTCTAAACTTGCTATGAGCTTACTTTTTCTCCATCTTTAAAACTGGAATGATATCTCCCCTACCAATTCTGCAGAGTTGTCAAGATCAAATCAGAAAACTGAAGGAAAAGTGCCAAGGCTTCTAATACAATATTCTTCTGTTCTTCTATTTCATGGTCTTTAATGTTACTATTTTCTACTTGAGCAGGAATCAAAGCTTCCAAGAAATATTTGTACTTTCTGCCTAAGGAAACAGTTAGCAAGAAGAACAAATTTTGGGCCCATTCTTCCTGCGCCCCCACAACTCTCCCAAATTTGACCTTTTTAGTCACAGTTCTAATTAGAATGTTCTAAATTTTTCCAAGTACTGTTCCTTGAGCAAGACTTGCTCCTTTTTACCTTTACTCATGATTACCTAGTCCATAGACTTTATTTGACCCTCTAGCCAATCATTCATTAATCCAATCAATTTATCTGCTGCTGTGTCCTTAACCATTAAAGTCTTTTGCCTTTCTAGTTAGAAATCATTTTCTTCCAAAATATTTTCAGTTATATAGCATTAAAATAAAAATATTTTAATGTCTTTCAAAAAACGTGAAGTTTTCTCTGCTACAGTTACTTTATATTTGTCTACCTCTTGCATCAGTGGGCTCCCTGAAGACTGGACTATGTCTGAAAAATATAGTGTAAGTTACGTAAGTAGTCACAGCAGCTAATTTAATAATTTGCAGATAGAATAAATATTAACAAATATTCATTGAATATTGACTGAATTAAAGTCCTAAGAGTCAAAAGTCTTAGCTGAAACTTTCTCTGTTTCTCAAAAACTCAGTGGCAAAAAACAATATTAAGGCCTTTCTTTGAGGACATATAGTACAGTTCCATAGTTAGTATAATTTCATTCCCTAAACTAGACTATGAGAAAAATGTATTGTTTGGGTCTTTGCAGTATTGATTTCGCTGTTATGCATTGGCTTTATGACTTTAATTTTAAAGTTGACTTAATTTAAAAGTTGACTTAATTTTAAAGTATGACTTAATTTTAAAAGTTGTAGTAAGTTGTTATATAAGGCTTGCCATTGTAGCCGTAGTTGGCAACAGCATTCACCTTCCAGAGCTTCCCCTGGAAGAACCATAGGAAACACTGTTCTAAGGTCTCAGTGCTAGAGAAAGCTGGTGCTTTCTGAAAGGGACCTTCATCTGATGTTACATACAAAGTAAATTTTCTAAACTACCATATTTTCTCCTTTGTTTTGGCCCAAGAAAAGTATAGAGCAAATTCTGTGGTTCATGTTGAGCAAATATAGAGAACCCTATCAATCACACACATGTGGCACTTGTGTTGGATTATCTCCAATCAGCATGTTAATTGTACCTTCTGTTTCATCTTCCTTTCTTTGCTTTTTGTCCTTGTTTCTTACCTATTTTTTCTTTTTTAGTCCATTTGAATTGCATATATTTATACATGTTACTTGAAACTGTTTTTGAAAAGAATATGTAAATGAGTAAATAAGGGAGATCTTTGTTGTCATTTCTTTGCTTTTTCTTTACATAGTTTCATAACCTTTCTCCTTATCACGACTACGGACCAGATCAATATACTCTTTTATATTTTACTGATTTTACTCCAGCAATTACTATACAGCAAAATGAGGCCAACCACTAAAGACTTTCCCTGTGACTAAAGTGGATAATTCAATATTTCATTTCTTTCTCTAAAGAATATTAGAATACTGAGATAATTGAACTAAACACTCTTGTTTTTTAGTGTAATTATATGCATTACGATTTCTGGTTAGAAGTAAGGTGGTGTTACTGTGAAAAGTCAGACAATCTGGCCTCTGATTCAGATTATGTGCTCCATCAGTTTAGTGACTGTAGGCAAACCACATCTTTCTGGATCTCAGTTTCCTCACAGGCTGTCAATACCAGCAATTTGCTGATACAGTGATTTGTAATATGCTAATATGCTGAAATATGTTAACTAGAATTTCATGGGGGGAAAAAAGGGTCAAATAAATTTGAAGTGCCCAAAACAAACAAACAAACAAACAAACATACAAAATGCAAGTAATGACTAGTTGCAAAATCTGACCTGTCCTCCTTTCCCCTGTGTCTCATCCTCTCTCACATGTTAATACCTGGAACACATGAGAGCTGGACTAGGTTGAGCATAACTTTCCTGAACTGTTTAGGCGCAGAAGTGTTTCAGATTTTTGACTTTTAAAAAACTTTTAGAATATCTGCATATACATAATAAGATACCTTGAGAATGAGACCTAAGTCTAGACATGATTCATTTGTTTCATATATATCTTTATATACATAGTTTGAAGGGTATTTTATAATTTTAGTGTGTATAGTTTGAATGTGATCCATTATAAAGTCAGATGTGAACATTTCTTCTTGTAACAATATACTGGCATTCAAAAATTCTAGAATTTGTGGCATTTCAGATTTTGAATTTTTGGATTAGGAATGGTGAAGTGTTTAGAGCTATAGTATGAGCTAAGATGTTTATAAGGTTCTCAGTGAGAGGACAGATTTTATTTATATTTGGAAAAGAATGTGAAAGTTTTGGTTCAGGGTAAATTAGGTGAACCATCAAAAGAAAGTACCTATACTATTAAGCTCTAAATACAGAAAAAGCATTTGTGTATTTTAACAGTTTTAGCAAGCAGTATAGATGAAGACAGTATTTTAGAGAGAATAAGCATGTGTAAACATGAAGTGAGTATGAAGGAACAGGAATCCCAAGTTTTTATAATATATTTCTTGAAAGATGGCCTAGATGCAGCCTAAAAGAATAGTAATTAATCTCCCCCTTGTCTGATGTTTTGTGAAAACTCTACATTTATAACTCCTATAGAGACATACCATCATGTGTGGCCTTGGACTGGAGTGCAGTATAAAAGAGCATGAGTTGGTAGACACAAAGCACTATGAGAAAATCTCAGTTGTTCTTATTTCTATGTGTATGTTTCAAAAAGCTTCAGTTTTTCACTTGTAAAGAGAAATTCCCACTGTGCAGCTTGTGCTAATGATTAAAGAACAAAGCATTTGCAAAGCAGCTAGCAGAGTTCTCGATACACAGAAGATACAAATTTTTTTCACCTTCAGAGGGTAGAGACTAGAGTTTATCCAGCATAGCAACATATACATACATGACAGTTATTAAATAAGTGTCTGAACATGAATAAACTTTGATTCTCAACTGGTGAAATATCACGTCTTTCAACAGCCATGTCAAGATTACTTTTTCCGTATGTTACCTGTAAACGTTTTTTCCTATGCCCTAAACTCCTTAAGTATTTGATTTTTATTATCATATATCATTTAGCACATTTTTCCTTTATTGGTTGTTACTTGTACACATGTTGCATCTTCCTTCCAAGATGTAATCTATTCTTGCAGGCAGAAAACATTTTATTATCTGTTTTTCCCTGAAGTGAGATGAAGCACAGGTTCTTGTTCAAAATGTAGTGAAATAGATGAAAAAAGTGAATAAATAAAAGAGGTGGTGTTGTCTGACTAAGAGTGATGAATAATGGATTTTCCCTCAGCCTGATTTAGGGTTCTCTGTGCTTTTCCATCACTTGTTAGATGTCTTCTTCTTTTAATAAGTGTATCACCATTAATTCCATGTCTAGAAAGCAATCCTAAAAGTCCTGTTCTGTGAAGGTATCCCAGGAAGTCATTTAACACCCTTCTTTTTGTTTCCATTAACCTTAGGCATACACTGGTAATAGCTTCTACTTTTTTTTTTTTTTTTTTTTTTTTTTTTTTTTGCTGCCGGGGATCAAACTCACAACCCTGCACTTGCCAGGCAGGCACTTGTGAGACTGAGCTCAATCCCTGGCCCATAATTCTATTTGTATAAGGTTATAAATTCCTAGAAGGAAAGACATGTCTATATCACTACACTCTAACAGATTGCCCACATCTGAAAAAACAATAAGGATTAAAAATGTCTGTAAAATGGGTGAATACAAAGTTCTCTATATGGATATAGATATAATTTCAAGGGAAAAATATCAGCCAAACATATTTAGGAACCCAACACAAGGTGCTACAGAAGGAACTCACAAAATTTTCTGGTGGGTAAAGTCTTGGGAATGGACAAAAAATACAATTTTTATATTCTTGGGATGAGACAATATCAAGGAAGGACAGAAATTATCATTTAAGCAACAAAAGAGTAATGGAACTGGAGATAATAGAAGATAATGAATATAGTGCATGGTCAAGTTTTGTAAGAGTTCAGGAATGAGTCCTTCAAAGGGAAGTCTTTCATACTAAAATGAATCTGGAAAAAGTAAGTTGCAAGGAATACTAACAGCCTCTGTACCAACTATAGCAGAAATACGAGTGAACTTTTGAGTAACTTTGCTTCAAATTATGCCCAACCTCACGTTCCTCTTCTTGCTCTTTGCGAATCTGCTCCAAACGAAACTGTTCTGCCATCTCTCTCTCATGAGCTTCTCTCTGTTGATAAAAGGAGCAAGCATTTATAAATATCTGTTTATCTCAAAAAAAAAAAAAAAGGAAAAAGAAGGCAGTTATATTAAAAGGGCTTATTCCACAGAATTCAGAGGTAGACTGTGGTAAAGGCAACCAGAATGGAAATGAATGAAGCATAGCTTTCTGACCACATCAGATCTCTATTCAAGCACTTTTGATAGCTCTGGGTTAAGCAGTACTCAAGACCACCCAGGACCTTTCTTTCATCTTCCCTTTTGGACTTTTCTATTGCTTCTCATGTTCCCAGTCTAAAGATCTATGTGAGCAACCTCTATCTATCCCTACGCTTTCAGGATACTATTTTATATTACTTCCTGTTTCCTCTGCCCAGCTCAGGGAAACATCGAACACTTCTATGAAACATTCCTCAATACCTCTGATTTCCTGGTTCTACAAAAATTTACTACTGAGACTCCTGCTCACTAAACTCACAGAACTTGGGGCTTCCCTTATGACAGTTACGGTGTTTATGTTGTAACTATCTGTGTTTCTCTTTTATCTACTCTACCACATTATCTGTCTTCTGGAGGGTAGAAACTGTGGCTTATTTCCTTGCTCCTTCTTCAGTGTTCAATACAGCAGGTGTTTAAGAGTATTAAATAAATCAGTGGTTCTCAACTTTCACTGCACACTGGGGTCACCTAAACAGCTTTTTAAAAACTGCTGGGTTAAAAACACCAAAACCAAAATCAAAATCAGAACCAAACCCAAACCCAAACCACACACTGCTGGGTTCTCTTATAGACCAATGAAAACATCAGTAAAACAGATAATGAGCTAAGCTCACTTTTATTTTTGTTTGTTTTTAATGTTTTAAGCTCATTTTTATTATTCCTCATGATTCTTTTTAAAATTTGATTTTAAAGAGATTAAAACAAAAGAGGACAAAACAAAGCAGATCAGAACAGAACAATTTAAGCAACACAGTATTTCACCACAGGACAACCCGATGTAACAGTAGCTACCATAATGTCTCTTTCCTTGAAATAGTTGAGCATACCTTCATACACAATAGTATCAAACATAACAAAATAGTATACAACCATTGAAGAGAATGAAAGTATTACAGGGCATTCAGAACTAAATAACAGAAAATGAACAATGGTTACTATATTACCTCATTTTCCACAAAAAATTTGTTTATACTTTCACACATGATAAAATCCAATAAGATACAACATGATAGAACCAATGGAAACAGAAGAACAAAAGCATGGTAGGACTTCAAAGCAAGATGGTATTAAATCAGCAATGGCTGCCATAATGTCTTTTCTTCTTCAAAAGAAAACAAGTTTGATTTATTTTGCTTATGAGTATGGTCTCAAGTTGCGTCCATTTATTTACAAATATCTCAATGTGATCATTCTTTATAGCTGAGTAGTACTCCGATGTATAAAAATACCACAACTTTTGTTTTTTTTAAATCTGTACCAGGGATTGAACTCACGACCACCTGCTTTCAAGGCAGGGTCTCATGCCGCTGGGCTAAATCCCCAGCCCAATACCACAACTTTTTTATCCATTCCTCAATTGATGGACACTTAGGTTGTTTCCAAGATCTGACCATTACATATTGAGCAGCTATAAACATGGATACACATATATCACTGTGGTATGATGTTTTAAATTCTCCTGGAATATGCCTAGAAGTTATTCCTCATGATTCTAACAAACTTTATTTGTGAAAATGAGCCATGCCTTAAAAAGCATGTACAGAATTTTTTCTGTATATACTGAATCTAGCTTTCTCCATTAGAAATACAGTATTTTTAGGGATCAAAGTGACAAAATGGCTGGTATTTATATAATCAAAGACTATTTAGGATTGAGTTCTATATTCCAGAAATACCTTGACCAAGCTTACCTTTGCTCTGTCAGCCTCAAGTGAAAGGCGATAGGCTTCATCTTGCTCTCTCTTCACATTTTCTCTGGCTTCACGTTCATCCTTTAAAAAAAAAATTCAACTGAGCTTTGATCATATTTACAAAAAGAAAAAAAAAACAGTGATAATCCTCATCTTGCTCCTGTATGAGTTTACTGTAATTAAATAAAGTATATAGGATATGAACAAGTTAAACAATAAGATGTGCAACATGGTTCATGGTGAAAATAAGAATGAATGAATTCTAGTTCTACTACACAAAAGCTGTATGATTTCATGTAAGCTATTTAATCTTTCTAGATCTGTTTCCTTAATTGTAAAATAGAAATTATATTTTATAAGGTTATTATGATAATCAATGCCACAATGTATAAACTGTCCAATTATTAGATCTTTTCCCTTTTCTTCTGATGTTTCCAAAGATTATTTTAGAGACTGTCAGCATCGGAGCTAAGGACTGGGAGGGAAAGTATAAGAAGCTGAGAGCAAACAATCCTTCAATATCATTCCACTGAAACTTTGGTTATCAAATAAGTGTTTTTCTCTTACATTTATACTCATGAAGTAGGGTAGCAGAAGTTATTTAAGCTGAAAACGTTTTAGATTATCATTAGTTTTAAAAATAAGCGAGCATACTAAGTTCTTTCATTTGAATCATACTTTTGTATGAAATTAAAAGTTAACTCACTAATAGAATTTATCATTTGTAAAGTTTAGGAGTATAACCACATTAGAGTGGTCACTGGTGTTAAGGCTGAGCTAGATAAAGTCACCAATATCTGACAATTTTTGAACTTTAAAACTGAAAATTTCAGAATTAATCATATTACATCTCGCTTTTGTCTCCTCAATTCATTATATGCTTACTCCAGGCTGAGTATACGGTCAGCATTCTCTGGTGCTCTTTCAGATACCTATCAAGACTGACCTTCCTCTTAAGATTTTCTAGTTCCAATAATTCAACTAATTCCAAAAGCTCTGGAATGAGTAGTAACATTGTATTGATCCTAAATATTTCAAACAAAGAATTAGATGTTGCTGACTTGAAGCTAACTGTTATACTATCCATGATGAAAAGGTTTAGTAGGGGCTGGGCATGGTGGTGCATGCTTGTAATCCTAGCACTTGGGAGGCTGAGACAGGAGGATCATTCCAAGTTCGAGACCAGCATGGCTATAAAGTGAGCTAAAGGACAGCCTGAACAGCATAGTGAGACCCTGTTTCAAAAAGATTAAAAAAAAAAAGAAAAACAAAAACAAAGCAAAGGTATATTAGGTGCATAATATTTGGGAATATCATGAACCATGTTTAACTTTCAAGAGGCCATTCAGTCTGTAAGCAGTCAGAATAATTCATATGTCAATTAATAGTATATATGAATAAAAATGTTTTAAAAACTTATCAGAGACATATTTTAGCATTTTGTATACTATCTATATCTATCTACCTATCTATCTATCTATCTACCCATTTACGTGGTGGTTTCACCACGTAGTTCAGGTTGTTCTTTAACTCACTATATAGCCCAGGCTGGCCTTGAACTCATGGCGATCCTTCTGCCTCAGAGTCCCAAGTATTGGGATCACAGACGTGAACAATCACACCTAGTCAGTTAGTACACATTTGAAAGACACAAAATCATTTTCCTTTAAGCCATTCACTAATTCCAACTAGCTTTTACTTTGGTCTATTTACTCAGATTTTATTATGACTAATAAAACTAACTTGGTAAAGCATATTTTGTATACTTTTGTTTATATTTGTATTTGCCTAATTCATTACTCTGTAAACTCTTTTCCCAACCCTAACACAAGTTTATGTACAGAGTGGCCATGTAATAGTTCATTCAACCATAACCATGCTGATATTTAATATATAATTTGTTTAACTGAGGAAAGATAATGTGGTGGATAAGCAGATGTGTTCATGTCCTAGCTCTGTCTGTAGCAAGGTATATAGTCTTTTGTAAACAAATGTCTCTTTTATGTCTGTATGGAGAAATGTATTCCTCCAAATTTATCTATATCTAGTATATAATCAACAATGTGAGAATAGTCTTACCTTTCTGTATTTAAAATGGGGATACAGTTAAGATGACCTTACTTTCCTGACCTCATCCTTTTTTATAATAGTTTAGGGCTTTCTCAAAATGTTGTTTTCCCTTTTATAGCATTTATCATAATTGCAATTAATTACTGGATAGTTATTTATTGTTATATCCCTCATGACATTGTAAGTTCCACAAAAAGATCTCTCTCTCTCTCTTTCTCTCTCTCTCTCTCTCTCTCTCTCTCTATATATATATATATATATATATATATATATGTCTAGGGCCATCATCAATCTCTCTCTCTCTCTCTCTATATATATATATATATATATATAATATATTCAACACAGTATTAGTTTTTGAGGAGGCGTTTAACACCTATATTATATATCTCTGTATTAAACACAGTATTAGCTTTTGAAATTTTTTATTTTAAAGAGGATAAAACCAAGGGAAATAAAACCAATCAAATCAAAGCAGTGTAAGTGACCAACAAGAGTTACCATAATGTCTTTTGTTGTCTCCAAAATAGCTGCAGATACCTTCCGACATAGTAAAAACCAAACAGAACAGAATAGAAATAAAAACAAAACAATGGCAATAATGGACTTCAAAATAAGACAATAGTAAATTCAAAATGGCTACCATAATATATCTTGCTGTCTTTGAAATAGCTGCTCATGCCACCATATTTAACATAATCAAACAAAACAGAATAAAACCCAACCTGACAAAACAATGAAAATGATATAGGACTTCAGAACAATACAACAGGGACTCAACAATGGCTACAACCCTCAGAAGGACAGCCCCCCTTAGATGCCACACTGTGTACCACTACCCTCTGAATTGATGATGGCCCTAGACCTGCAATATCAGTGAAACACCAAAGCACCACGGGCATCCAATGGAATTTCACCTCCATAGCTATCATCACAGGCTGTGTTTCTCAAGATCAGCCGGTGATCTGGTCGCTTAAGAGGTGGAGCAGGGTAGGACTGGTACTTATTGTTTTCCAGCCTCCCCACACCAGAAGGTGTTAGGGTCTGGCTATCCCCACTCCTGCAGTGGCCAGTGCATGGCACTGATTCCCAGGTGGGGCTTGCTTCTTGGTGTGCCCTTGTTCTCTTCCCCTGCAGTCCACAAATCCACAGTATTAGCTTTGGAGGAAGTGCTTAACAATTATATGCTGAATCAATTTTTTGGTCTGTCTGCCTATCTATCTTATCTATCTATCTTTCTTTTTGGTGCTAAAAATTGAACACAAGAAATTGCACATGCTAACCATATGCTCTACTAATGAGCTATACGCTTATCCCCAAGCATATGTTTGATAAATGCATCATCTTTCCAGGCATAAGATACTTATTGTTTGCAATAAAAATTACAGGGAAAAAAGATACAGCTCATCCACAAAGCAGCCACATCTGAGTCAATGCAAGTGACTAGCTGGCAGGGATGACCCGTTTTGACACTGTGTATACAACTACAAAGGGACAAGCTAATACAACTGGAAGCCATTTAAGTACAAATACAGTTTATAATATAAGCATTCTAAGTAAACAGCTTAGTTTTGAAATAGATTGTTGCAGATATGAAAGGTCATTCAATATAGGATATCTCCACCAGAATGTGGCACCTGTTCTTAGAAGACTTTCTGAACCAAATAACTTCCTTTTTGCCTGAGCTTCTTTTCTCTTGTCTTTTTCCTTTCCCTCTGACAAACATTCATGAAGCATCAACCTTATATTACTCATTACATCAGCAATGAGTATACAGAGAAAGGTCACTGTTTACAAGGGAAAACATAGATGATCCTGCTTTTGGACCACCCTCATCGTTACGGAGTCTACTGATCATGTTGTTTTCTTCTTGTTCCTTAAATAATGTTGCTATGTCTACCTAGAAGATTTTCTACATCATCAGCTCTCTTACTCAAAATCCTATCTGTCTTTCATATAATTTTAGAAATACAGGAAGACCAACATATTCAAAGAAGCCATTTCAGAGATGAAGAAACAGAAATTCTATGAAGGTAACTGATTTGTATAAGATCACCTAATAAAGTCAGAGGCAGAGCTTAGGTTTGAATCCAGGTCTCCTGATAGGTTTTCCTTATTTTTCTTGCTAACAGTCCTTCCTGGCCATCCTGATAGAAGGGTTGGCTCACTCATGTGGTTCAGGAAGAAATTTCCTAAATTTATCATGGCCATAGCTTCCAGGAAATTGGGAAATGGGCCTGCTACCTATCCCTAAAGGAATATGAATCAAAATAACATGAAATTACCTTACTATACATACTTAGAGACAAGAGAGAAAATATAATATGTTAAAAAGTGTTAGTGTGCCTGTTAAAGAAGGGAGGATGGAGAATTAGGTACATTCCTAGGTACCAACAATGAAGGCTGAAAACCAGAGTTACAAATGATCAGAACCTGGCAAGGTAGGCCCACAATCTTGGGAACTGACAGGCCCAAATGAGAGACCAGAGTATCGCTGAAATTTGGGAATAAGCCTAGCACAGGGAAGGAGGGAAAAATGAAGACATAATACTCAACATTATTACAAATTTGATAAAACTGTAAAGCTACAGATTCAACATCAATAAACACCAAACAAAAGAAACAAATAAACAAAACCAAGGCACATCATACTGAATTGCCAGGGATTTAACTCAGTGGCATAGGCACCTGCCTCGCAAGCATAGGATCATGAATTCAATCCCTGGTACAAAAAAAAAGAAAAGAAAAAGAAAATCCTAAAATCCATCAGAGAAAAGCCATAGTAAGTACAAGGGAACAAAATAGGGATAAGAGCAAACTTCTTACTAAAAAAAAAAAAAAAAACCAGTACACAGAATAGTACAATAGCATTATCTTTAAAGTACTAACAGGCAAAAAAAAAAAAAAAGCCTATTAGCCTAAAGTTCTATAGTCAGTGAAATGACCCTTTCAAAATAGAAGGCGAAATAAAAACTCTAAGCATATGAAAGGTAAAAGAATTAATCACTAAT